TGTGTTAGATCTGGCTTCTGTTAGAAGTTTTGGTTGCTTTCATACATAAGACATATTAATAAACAGGCATGTTCCTATTGAGCTTTCTCAAACTTCCTGCTTTGTGCCCCACAGGTGTGCCAAATTGAGTCTGGCAATACCTTAACCCCCTGTGAATGAAGTCTGTGTATCAGGCTGGTTCTGCTTTTCAATTGATCAGATAGTACTAACAGCTGTTGAGATCTACAATTTAATTCTTTACATACAACTGTTGTCCACCAGCTTTCTGTGTTAGATCTGGCTTCTGTTAGAAGTTGTGCTTGCTTTCATAAGTAAGACATATTAATAAACAAGCATGTTCCTGTACTACTGATCAGCTTTACAGAAGGTCACTTCTATCACAAGAAAAAAAGCTTGCACTTTCCTTCAGTTTCAAATTAATCCAAGAAGCCAGTTTCCCCACTGCTGAGTTAAGATCCGCTGTTCAGACTTGAGAAATGCCTACTGTGCAGATTTCTTCAGTACCATTGAGTTTCATGGAATAGGATGTGGGCTGACTCCATGTTTTCTGCTAAAAGCTAGAACTTTTAATATCTTATGCCTTTAATCATTCTTTAAAATGACAGTTATTTGCATTATCAGCAATTTCATTGAGAGAAAGTGAGATCTTGCAACTTTGCACGAGAAGCATTTTTAGAAAACCTACAAGTTCTCTATGAAATAAGGTCTCCAAGTTTGTTCCTACGCTACCATTTTCATTACATTAACTTTCAAGAAGACAGCATAGTTGTGATAAAGATGGAGATTAATATTTCTCTCTTCCTCTGTGTCCAACTGTTACTACAATTTTTTCGTGCATGAAAAGTGACTGGATGACATTTTGTTTCATAAATGTGACCTAAGGAAGGAAGCAGAGTTGATCCAATCCTTTCAGCACCAAAATTTTAGTTAATGTCCTAAGTTGCATTAAACCTCAGGGAAGGCATGGCAGCAAATGTCTCATCTAGTAAGAAGGAAAACATTTCAGCTGAGGATTCATTTTTAGAAAACCTACAAGTTCTCTATGAAATAAGGTCTCCAAGTTTGTTCCTGCACTACCATTTTCATTAGATTAACTTTCAGCAAGACAGCATAGTTGTGATAAAGATGGAGATTAATATTTCTCTCTTCCTCTGTGTCCAACTGTTACTACAATTTTTTCGTGCATGAAAAGTGACTGGATGACATTTTGTTTCATAAATGTGACCTAAGGAAGGAAGCAGAGTTGATCCCATCCTTTCAGCACCAAAATTTTAGTTAATGTCCTAAGTTGCATTAACCTCAGGGAAGGCATGGCAGCAAATGGAAAACATTTCAGCTGAGAAATGTATAGAAACACCAAAATGAGTTAGGGTGTGAATATAACTGAAGTGTCCAGCTCTAGTCACAAGAATTATTCATCTGTTTAGAGTTATCACAAATACAGTAATGCTGTGGCATACCACCTGCCCATGACTCACATGGGCAGTAAGATAAAGCTGCCTCTGTGAATTTACATGGTGAATTTGAAGATTCAGGTAACATTTTTAATTAAAAGAAACAGCTCATGTCTGCTTGAAACAGCCCTTGGCTAAATATTACTAGTGAGTGATAACGACTGAAATGATCGGGGATAGTCTGCCCACAAATTGAAGTCTTACAACTCCTGGAGAGCAGAACATACAAGAATTCAAAACATACACAAAATAAGCTTCAGGAACATCTTTGGTTCATTTACCCTGTATTTCAAGTGGAAGGGGCTGCTGTGAAGTGTCCAGCTCTAGTCACAAGAATTATTCATCTGTTTAGAGTTATCACAAATACAGTAATGCTGTGGCATACCACCTGCCCATGACTCACATGGGCAAAAAGATAAAGCTGCCTCTGTGAATTTGAAGATTCAGGTAACATTTTTTATTAAAAGAAACAGCTCATGTCTGCTTGAAACAGCCCTTGGCTAAATATTACTAGTGAGTGATAACGACTGAAATGATCGGGGATAGTCTGCCCACAAATTGAAGTCTTACAACTCCTGGAGAGCAGAACATACAAGAATTCAAAACATACACAAAATAAGCTTCAGGAACATCTTTGGTTCATTTACCCTGTATTTCAAGTGGAAGGGGCTGCAGCTGGCAGCAGGCTAGAGGGGTCCCCTTGCACTGTCACAGCGCAGTAACATTTTTAATTAAAAGAAACAGCTCATGTCTGCTTGAAACGGCCCTTGGCTAAATATTACTAGTGAGTGATAACAACTGAAATGATCGGGGATAGTCTGCCCACAAATGGAAGTCTTACAACTCCTAGAAAGCAGAATATACAAGAATTCTAAGCTTCAGGAACATTTTGGTTCATTTCCCCTTTGTTTCAAGTGGAAGGGGCTGGAGCTGGCAGCAGGCTAGAGGGGTCCCCTTGCACTGTCACAGGGCCCTGCAGCCCTGCTCTGTCCCGTGCAGCCCAAAGATCGCGGAGGCACCGGGATCAAAGTCTGTTCCCCTTGTCAACAAATATATATCATTCTTGTTGCCTTTTAAAGTTCCTACAAGTGTGGGAAGTTTGTTTGCAGACAACTGAAGCTACTTTTCACAACAGAGACAGCAGTAAATACAGGTATTACACTGCCCTATTTAGAACCAAACATATAATGCTCACAGTTTTCTCAACTCTACAGCTTGATGGCCAAGAACAACATTTTTTCCTGCATTCCTTTTAAGCTGGAATATCATATTTCTTAACTTGAAAGGACTAGTCTTAGTCCTTAACAGAAAGGACTAGTCCTCACTATTGCTTGTAGGTAGAAGGGCCAGATTGTGCTGAGATCCACTGCCACCTCGTGTCCCAGTGTCAAACGTCTTGTGATCTTTGTTCTAGCTCTGTATGTGGAACCTCATCTTTAACTCTCCAGCTGTCAAGTGTGTAAAAATCAGATGTTTACAAAGTCAGCTATGGCAGGTCAGACTGTGTTATGCATTTAACACGCTTTCATGTGGGGAGGGAATGAAGAATTCCCTTAAGGAACTAGCGGAAGAAGATGAGAAGACCTACTGTATGACCAGATGTCTCTCTTTCCAACAGCGACAGCGCTACACCTGTGTGTGAACTGTCTGCCAATGAAACCAGGAATAACGACAAAGAAGAAGATCTCCCAATCATGGATGAGATGCCATTTCTTGGCTTGATACCTAGACAGACCCTTTCTGATTATGAAGAAAGCAGCGTCATTCAGGAAGTGCGTGAAGAATTGGAGAGCCTGGAGAACCCAGCAAGTTTGAAGCCTCCTCACGACCCGTTTGGGTGAGATGAAATTTAAAAGTCCAAACACCAGAAAGTTTAGTTAGTTAATTCTAGAAATTTTTGTCTAGTGTCTTGCTTCTATAAACCCTAAACACGTACTGCTGGATAGAAGTGCAATAATCGAGGTCTTCAACAAGCATCCTTTTGTGTGCACCCAACCTGCATGTTCAAATGATTTTTGAATTAAATCAACCCTTGGACCAAACCTGCTGTCAAAGACAAATGAGAAATATAGTAAAGTTTCTTCTGGATTAGTACTTTCCCCTTGTACGTTAGAAATAAACTTATCAGTACTTTTACTCATTAAAAAAATACACATAAGCATAAAGAATCTTAAGTTATTAGTGACTGTAGAAGTGACCTTTGAGTACCTATGTTTAGAATCACTCATTTTTCTAGGGTAAGAATCATGTACTTTGGACTGTTTTAATATGTTGTTTTTTTTTTTTAATTTTAAAAAATACAATCACTGAAGCTGCAACAGAGGTATTCTGGGTGCCACATGGGAACGTGAAGGTTGATTTTCAGAAGGGAGGAGAACGTATCAGGCCTAAAATCAGACCTAAACCCTGCCTGTTCAGGGCCCAGCTTCTTCTACTGCTTTATACCCACTAGTTCCTCACCACTTTTTCCCCTTTAGTTGTGTAGTGACGGGATACAATTCCAACCACCTTTCTACAACAGGTAGGTAATTCTTTAGAAAGCAAGAGCCAGGAAAAAAGCTATGAGCAAGAGGTGACCTTGTCCCTTCACTGACAATTGGGCTGCCTGTCCCGCCATCAGCCGGCTGGGGAATCGGGCTACTCAGGCATTTCAGGGAAACAAAGGAGAAAGCTCAAACACCATTTAAAGGCAGGTGGGTCTGCTCAGCTTTTCCTTGCCCATTTTGAGCATTACATAGTACACCTTCACTGTTAAGTAAGTTCAAAAGTTTGATTTCAGCAAGTTTTGGTTAGAGCGGTTTTATTTTCCCCCTTCATCAGGTTCATGCCTAAAGCATTTACAGGTTTTCAGCATCACACAGTGGACATTTAATGTTAAGTGAGTTTGGTTTCAGCAAGTTTGGGTTAGAACGCTTCTGTTTCCCACTTCATAAGGTTTCTGCCTAAAGCACTTACAGGTTTTGCCAACCTCTATCAGAGATTTCTTTGTACTCCGGTTCTGAAATGAGACAGAAAGAGCACTTTTAATAAATGACTATTACTTTTACGGTGCAGGACTGTGCATCTCTGCCCACGCTGCAAATCAGTGGTGTTAGTGTGCCTCCATGGGTGTTGGCAGCACTAGGCTGGTCTCCAGGGAGGGTAGTACTGCTTCTCTAGCCTGGATTTCCTACAGGATCCAAACAAGCTGTGTCTTTGTGACAATTATCTCAGTTGCATAAGACATTCATGCTAATTTGAGTATGAGTTAGTGCTTAGCTTGAAATGGAATTTAGTACAAACCTGTAACTCAGGAAGGCACAATACCATAGGTAAGAATAGTGACTAAAATCGATGGAAAACTATTATTAAAACTTTAAATAGGGCTGTTAATGAATGGCAATGGATTTTTATTATCTACAATTGTCTGCTTTAGCAGTGCTTTAGGGTTTTTTGGTTTAGGCCTAACCTTAAGGCCTCTCTCCATCACTTGAGTATTGCAAAAGGTTGTCCTAATAAAGTTTGGACTGTCTTTACATGTCTATTTTTTATATAAAATTGCAGTCAACTATGAAGCATTTGCTGCTTAAAATATAATGTGTGTTGGAATTACGTGTGTGTCTGTGTACACATACACATATATTTTGGCCAAGGCTTTTTAAAAAAACTTAAAATTCCAAACTCTTCACCTATTTTATTCTGACATACCACAAAAAAATGAGGTGAATGAAGACAAGAGGAGGAAAGGGATGTTTGATAGGAACATCTGGAAGAGCTAAATTCAAGATTGACGCTGTAAGTCATTAGCATAAGGGAACCCTAATGACTTATACTTCTAAATTTCTTACACAGTTTGAGATTCACCCCTGTGCAGAAACGAGGATGCCAAGCCTCAAATGGCATCAGGCAGCTTTGCTGCTGTAGAATTGTTACAATCTACAATCTAGCTATTGTAGAATTGTTATAACAAATTAAATTGCTGAGTAGTAGTTCTTGTAACCTCATTTAGTCTCTGAACAATCTGTATTTGTAACCTCTGTGAAGAAACAGGAAAAATAACAGCATTCTAAGATATATGGATATTTCTCTATTCAGGTTTTTAAAGCATTAATGCTGTGCATCACAAAGGATTCAGCGTAACGTTAGTTTTCTTGGGTTGTGAATAGCCTTTCAAATCTGGAAGGGCCGGAGTTGTGCAGTACCACTGTACTGACAGCAGTCTCTTCATGAAGAAGCAGGAGCTCATCTTGCTCATTAAGAGTAAACTTCACATGTCCTGCTCCCACCTAGTGGAAAGAACATGAAGTTATGGCTCCCTGACATGTCAGGGGGCTTACAGGGAGGTCAACTCTGTCCTTCCATATCTTGCGTGTAGACTGGAAGATGTAGGTTCTCTCAGTTTAGCAGACAGGTAATGGCTTCTCATTAAATTAATTTACTCTGGTGTGCAGAACTACTGTTTCCTGTGTGCACCCCGTTACCTGAAGAAGGTGAACCCTGCCATGATCCTTCAAACAGACTTCTCAACCTCATCACCTGGGAGCTGGAACCCGATGGAGCACTCGTGCGATGCCCCTGCGCGAGTGGCTTGATCTGCCAACCTCAGAGGTAAAGATCACAACTGGGCTTGGATTTTGAGTCTCTTTCTGTGGTAAATAGATACAAAGCTTGCAGATTCTTCCCCACTATAAAGCGTTTTCACAGGTTCTCTCATCAGTAGCATTGAGCTTTCTCAAACTTCCTGCTTTGTGCCCCACAGGTGTGCCAAATTGAGTCTGGCAATACCTTAACCCCCTGTGAATGAAGTCTGTGTATCAGGCTGGTTCTGCTTTTCAATTGATCAGATAGTACTAACAGCTGTTGAGATCTACAATTTAATTCTTTACATACAACTGTTGTCCACCAGCTTTCTGTGTTAGATCTGGCTTCTGTTAGAAGTTGTGCTTGCTTTCATAAGTAAGACATATTAATAAACAAGCATGTTCCTGTACTACTGATCAGCTTTACAGAAGGTCACTTCTATCACAAGAAAAAAAGCTTGCACTTTCCTTCAGTTTCAAATTAATCCAAGAAGCCAGTTTCCCCACTGCTGAGTTAAGATCCGCTGTTCAGACTTGAGAAATGCCTACTGTGCAGATTTCTTCAGTACCATTGAGTTTCATGGAATAGGATGTGGGCTGACTCCATGTTTTCTGCTAAAAGCTAGAACTTTTAATATCTTATGCCTTTAATCACTCTTTAAAATGACAGTTATTTGCATTATCAGCAATTTCATGGAGAGAAAGTCAGATCTTGCAACTTTGCACGAAAAGCATTTTTAGAAAACCTACAAGTTCTCTATGAAATAAGGTCTCCAAGTTTGTTCCTGCACTACCATTTTCATTAGATTAACTTTCAGCAAGACAGCATAGTTGTGATAAAGATGGAGATTAATATTTCTCTCTTCCTCTGTGTCCAACTGTTACTACAATTTTTTCGTGCATGAAAAGTGACTGGATGACATTTTGTTTCATAAATGTGACCTAAGGAAGGAAGCAGAGTTGATCCCATCCTTTCAGCACCAAAATTTTAGTTAATGTCCTAAGTTGCATTAACCTCAGGGAAGGCATGGCAGCAAATGGAAAACATTTCAGCTGAGAAATGTATAGAAACACCAAAATGAGTTAGGGTGTGAATATAACTGAAGTGTCCAGCTCTAGTCACAAGAATTATTCATCTGTTTAGAGTTATCACAAATACAGTAATGCTGTGGCATACCACCTGCCCATGACTCACATGGGCAGTAAGATAAAGCTGCCTCTGTGAATTTACATGGTGAATTTGAAGATTCAGGTAACATTTTTAATTAAAAGAAACAGCTCATGTCTGCTTGAAACGGCCCTTGGCTAAATATTACTAGTGAGTGATAACAACTGAAATGATCGGGGATAGTCTGCCCACAAATGGAAGTCTTACAACTCCTAGAAAGCAGAATATACAAGAATTCTAAGCTTCAGGAACATTTTGGTTCATTTCCCCTTTGTTTCAAGTGGAAGGGGCTGGAGCTGGCAGCAGGCTAGAGGGGTCCCCTTGCACTGTCACAGGGCCCTGCAGCCCTGCTCTGTCCCGTGCAGCCCAAAGATCGCGGAGGCACCGGGATCAAAGTCTGTTCCCCTTGTCAACAAATATATATCATTCTTGTTGCCTTTTAAAGTTCCTACAAGTGTGGGAAGTTTGTTTGCAGACAACTGAAGCTACTTTTCACAACAGAGACAGCAGTAAATACAGGTATTACACTGCCCTATTTAGAACCAAACATATAATGCTCACAGTTTTCTCAACTCTACAGCTTGATGGCCAAGAACAACATTTTTTCCTGCATTCCTTTTAAGCTGGAATATCATATTTCTTAACTTGAAAGGACTAGTCTTAGTCCTTAACAGAAAGGACTAGTCCTCACTATTGCTTGTAGGTAGAAGGGCCAGATTGTGCTGAGATCCACTGCCACCTCGTGTCCCAGTGTCAAACGTCTTGTGATCTTTGTTCTAGCTCTGTATGTGGAACCTCATCTTTAACTCTCCAGCTGTCAAGTGTGTAAAAATCAGATGTTTACAAAGTCAGCTATGGCAGGTCAGACTGTATTATGCATTTAACACGCTTTCATGTGGGGAGGGAATGAAGAATTCCCTTAAGGAACTAGTGGAAGAAGATGAGAAGACCTACTGAATGACCAGATGTCTCTCTTTCCAACAGCAACAGCGCTACACCCGTGTGTGAACTGTCTGCCAATGAAACCAGGAATAATGAAAAAGAAGAAGATCTCCCAATCATGGATGAGATGCCATTTCTTGGCCTGATACCTAGACAGACCCTTTCTGATTATGAAGAAAGCAGCGTCATTCAGGAAGTGCGTGAAGAATTGGAGAGCCTGGAGAACCCAGCAAGTTTGAAGCCTCCTCACGACCCGTTTGGGTGAGATGAAATTTAAAAGTCCAAACACCAGAAAGTTTAGTTAGTTAATTCTAGAAATTTTTGTCTAGTGTCTTGCTTCTATAAACCCTAAACACGTACTGCTGGATAGAAGTGCAATAATCGAGGTCTTCAACAAGCATCCTTTTGTGTGCACCCAACCTGCATGTTCAAATGATTTTTGAATTAAATCAACCCTTGGACCAAACCTGCTGTCAAAGACAAATGAGAAATATAGTAAAGTTTCTTCTGGATTAGTACTTTCCCCTTGTACGTTAGAAATAAACTTATCAGTACTTTTACTCATTAAAAAAATACACATAAGCATAAAGAATCTTAAGTTATTAGTGACTGTAGAAGTGACCTTTGAGTACCTATGTTTAGAATCACTCATTTTTCTAGGGTAAGAATCATGTACTTTGGACTGTTTTAATATGTTGTTTTTTTTTTTTAATTTTAAAAAATACAATCACTGAAGCTGCAACAGAGGTATTCTGGGTGTCATTGCCCCCCCATCACACACACATTGCGGAAGGATGGAGAAGATAAAGAAAGCTTACCTTTTTAGATGAATGTACCCAGAGTTTCTTCTCAGCTGTGTGCCACAGGTGGTACCTGTCCTGCAGCAGCCAGCAGTGGTTCCAGCTCGGATATCCCTTGAGTTTTACACTCTCATAAACAACCATCGCTGGCTTCCCCCACTACATAAGGGGTATGCTATCAAAAAAAGGTTACAACATTTTCCATATAAATAGCAAACGCATATTTATATCCATATAACACATTGGTTTCTATAGAGAAACTTTCAACTTGACTGTTCAGGGTTCTGTCTCTCAATGGCAAAATGGATTATTCAGAATTGCAGAACAAACAGCTCAATGGGCTGAATACAGAGATTCTCCGTTGTACACTGGCTGGCTGAAGTACCAATACCTAGAATAGTTTCACTGCAATTACAAGGCTGTGCCTGAGCTCAATGCAGTGCCACATGCAGGGCACCATTCTGTGCCACACCATCAACACACCTTCTTGGCTAACATTTAGTGAACATAAATTGCAAAATGTGATTATCATTACACTCTTAACAGGTCACTGATTTAAGAAATCAATAGCAAGCTAAGAGTAAAATCCAATCCACCAAACCCCCCAGCTCCCAAAAACAGTTTGCTACAATGGCTTTTCCACTATTAATGGCTTTTTGGGATATAGATTTCACCACCTGTTGCCACACATGGCAACTCCAGCCAAGTAACCTTTCTTGGAGCTTCTTCCCAACCAACCTGTCCCGCTTGTGTCCAACTGGGAACAGTAGAGCACCAGTAACTTTAACAAGAGCAGCCACCAGCCTGCAAGTCTCTCATCACTTCTGGGCTATGGAAGCTTTTCAACAAATTCCTAGGGTACCAGAATTAATAATCATTATGAACAGGGAGCACACTTCATCAAAAGAGTCTGACTTTCAGTTTAAGGATTCCTTTTACCACCAATTCTCACACCGACACAAGCAAGTTAGAAACTCCAGGCTTTTTGTTTCTTTGAAATGCCCATAGTAAAACTCAAAAAACATTTGAAATGAGCAGAATGTAAAGCAGATGCTGAAAAACATCTCTGAGAACAACCCAGAATATATTCCAGTACACACTTAGGCAGAAGGAGGCGCACCACTGGGCAGGAAATGGTAAGGATGCCCCTCAGCCCTTTATCCAGATTTCTACCAAGACTTTCAGGTTTAAAATTAACTTCTTCAAAGAAGTTCTCAAGGGAAGTTTCCCAAATAGGGCTAGAGATGAAGCAAGCAGTTTTTGGAATTTTCTTAACCCTAGTTTATTTTTGCCTTTCCAAATGTCCGAGTTTGAAAAAACTCATGACCCATTTGGTAATTTTTTTTCTCTCTTCCAAAACCTCCAAGGATGCTTCAGCACCTTTTTAAAATTTTTATTTATTTTTTAAAATATGTAAAGGGTAGTAATGAAGTTCTCTACCTACTGGATGGTACTCCCTCTATGCGGCTGGAGATGAAGCAAGCAGTTTTTGGAATTTTCTTAACCCTAGTTTATTTTTGCCTTTCCAAATGTCCGAGTTTGAAAAAACTCATGACCCATTTGGTAATTTTTTTTCTCTCTTCCAAAACCTCTAAGGATGCTTCAGCACCTTTTTTTTTTAAATTTTTATTTATTTTTTAAAATACGTAAAGGGTAGTAATGAAGTTCTCTACCTACTGGATGGTACTCCCTCTATGCTACCTTTCCTCCTGCTTCCACCTCATCTATGTCGGCCAAGAGATGACACAGGTCAACGGAAGAGGAAGGAGGAGGGAATTGCATTGGAGAGTTCCTGCTTCTCAAACTGCCAGATTCCTCAGGATTTGAGGTTGCTGTGGGTCAGGGTAGAAGGAAGAACTGAACCTTCCAGTACTGAACATCCTTCTTCCTCTCTGGAGCAGAACTTCACTGCCCATCGTATCTGGAGCTTAGAAGCTTCACTGGTGAGGAATTCAATTCTGGAAAAGGAAACTTAGTTGAAGAAAACTTTGGTGTAAATATAAATAAAGAGGAGCAGCAGCTGGGCTATAAAGCACTTCCTGCAGTACTGTGCACACACAAGGGGGTGCGTGTGCATACACCACGTATAGACACGCAGCCTTCAAAGTCTGACATAGCCCTGGAAAACTCCACTTCCATGAAATAATTCCGTAATTTTTCCAATAAAAACCACAGCATTTAATGATTAAAATAACACAACAGAATGAACAAATGTTTTATTGGCATGTTCATCGTTGTAAACAGCATCTGGCATGAAAAAGTTTACCAAAATCTTTTCGATTGTTATAAATTAGGTGGTTTTCCAAAAACTACGGAGGAATTGTTCTCTATTGATCTTTATGGACCAAAGCAAGAAATGGCTGTTCCTAGGCTTTGCAATGAAATCACCTTGACTGCACCGGTCTTCCCACCACAACCTGAACTACCAAGTTTGGATGTTGAGGTGTTAGAGGTTGCCCCAATATTTGACTACACGTAGCTACGGAATCAACTCTGGCAAAAAAATAAAATTACTTTCAGTTGGGTGGAGAAGATGCAAACTCGTAATAGTCTCCAAAACAAGATGTACAAAAAGTAGCCGAACAAAACAAAAACGTCATTAACAAGGGGAAATACAACCCTAAAGTACCCAGCATCATCAAACAGAAAATGAATACAAATTTAAATAGGCAACTAGACTTCCAAATGTACACAACGACTGTCGATATGTGAAAAAGAAACACGGTGGTAAAGAGCTGAACGGCAGTTTTCTGGGAAATGAACAGGGCAAATTTTATTTACACATCGAACGCGATAGAATAGAGCTGCTCATGGGCTCCTGCAACCTACTGAGAAGCAGTTTGACCCCACGACAGGGGGACCCACCACCAGGAAGGACCCACCACCCGCTGACAGCTTTTCTGCAGCCCCCTCTCAGACTGCCTGCCCGTTTGATGGAAGAGTATCCTAAAAACCTCACACTCGCAGCGCTCCCATTTCCCCTCCGACCGCTCGCTGCTGCTTCTCTACAACCCAAGCGTCACCATTTACTCCCCACTCTCTGATGAGGTAATGCGTGTATCAGTGAAACAAACAGAAAAAAAAAAAAAAAAAAAAAGGATTCTTTCATGGCCTTTGCACAGCTTTTATTATTAAGCTATGAGTATCCTGTTTGAGGCTAGTTTCACTAGCTACTATGTGCACACTGTCCTCAAAAAAAAATTTCCACTCGTTCCCCCTCCCCGCCCGCTTTTGAGTTCTAATTCTTTTATTTGCACATCCCTTTGAGCTTTTACAGTACATTTGACTATAGTGCACGACGTTATTCCGAGTCCAAGAGCGACCCCAGGGGGGGCACTGCCCTTCTGGTTGGTCACAGCCCAACCAGTGCTGGTGTCAGCGCTTTCCACCTAACGAGTGTCCTGCCGGAACGGCACTACACAGTAGTAGTGAACCTTTTTGTTTTTTTTATTGGAAACAAAAAAAAATTCCCCAGGGAAAATGCTATAGCGAGTATCAGTCTTGAGTCAAATCTTTATTTGGTGCTCCGTCCAGATAAATTTTTAGTGCTTTTTCTTTACGAGGAGAGTAGGTTACCCGGTGGCCGGTCTTCTGGAGCCTGCTGCTTTCTTTTTTCATCAGTTCGTTTCGCTGCTCGTCTGTTAATTCCATTAATTCTTCGGTTTTATCCCTAAAATGTCAATATATGATAAGATTCAGATTAGTACAATTACCATGCTTAGATTAGCAACTTAGTAAAAAAACCCCACAACTAAGCGTAATACTCCTTATGGATGAAAGCACCAAGAAACAAGGTTATGCTCCTCTTTCAACCTGCTCACTCCTATTTACAGACAATTATGACTCTGCTTTTTATTCCATCACAGCACCAACATCTGGAAGCACCAGGTCAGCCAGCCCCTACTAGAAATTACCAGCTGCTCTTCCAAATAACTTTCTTCAAGGCCAGCACGTTATCAACCAGCTGTTTCTCCCAAACTCACATGTAATTACAAAAAAATACTACAGGAGAAATGTGTTGATGAGGCTGCCCCACCCACCAAATTTAGCAGAAACTACAATATTCAAGCACTTAGTCCTCAAATAGTGCCTTTGGGATACTGCCACCAGCTGATGAACATTTTTCATGTTAACCAAATTATCATAACATCCTTTTTTCCAGAGAAGCCATAATAATTCTCAAGGAAATAACCCCAGAAAATAAAATCCTTGCTCTCTAAAACCTGTGGCAAGACTCTCACAGACTCCACAAGGGATATGGGTCTATTTTAAGAGATTAAATCCAGAAACACACTTGAACATAGCAGCTAAATTTGCACTCAGCTTTGTTTTCAATGGTTTGGGAAGGAAGACTGAGTAAAAGGGTGTAGTGTTTGTTTTCATAAACAATAAACACAATTAATATTCACGTTTTTAGGAAGCTGGGGAGCACAAACATTTCAGCTCAATGTTTTAAATCCTCTTTCCTTTAAGACAATAGAAGAGCATTTTTATGCTTCTGTTGATTACATTGCTCAAATCTTAACACAGTTTTTCTGCATGGTTTATTATAGTGTAATGAAGTACATACCTATAAAATATTACTGCACCATCATCACAAATGTACAGAGGCCAGACATTCAATGTAGATACTTTAGGATTCCAGTCCAAGTCTTGGTGAATCTCTAGTATGGAAATGTCGCATGGAAACGTTCCTCTACCCTGAGAAGCAGCAATTACTTGGTGAATAAAATAAAACTCAGACATCCATGCCATTTAAAAGGTAAAATAGACAAAATCTTACTTACCTTTGCAAATTCTATGTTTTCTAAGGGTATTCCACTTATTGCGCTCAGCTGCAAAGTGAAGAAAAATGGTGGATTTAATACTATTCCAGAACGTTACACGCTGTCTACATAAAGTCAATAGACCTAACAAATCTAGAAGTTTAAGAAAATATTCT